TGTAGGCCTACTACACAACAAAGCTGGCTCTTCATAGCTTAGGTCTACAAACAAATTAAGCAGTTAAGGTGCAGAGCAATTTTATGCCATTAAGGTGCAGAGCAATTTTATGCCATTAAGGTGCAGAGCAATTTCATGCCATTACAATCGCTTATTAGGCCTGTACAATGTATCAGATTTTAACTAAAGCCTCACCAGTGAAGTCCCTGGGTGCTGGACGCCCTCATAACTACACTGATCAATTTGAATGACTCAGAGACAATGACTTGCTTGCACGTTAGTCTAATACATTTGGCAATATACTTTTTCGGTTGATATTGTTGTCATGCATTTCTCCTGATACAGTGCTGCTTAGTATTGAAGTGCGTGTGTGTGTTGGCCCACCGGACTATACAGGCCATGCATGACTGCAACGTCAATTAGTGAAAGTACCGAAGCCGCACGGGAGCTGTCCATCTGGCAAAGGTGCTGAAATGGAAAAGGATCGCCGGGGGGGTGGGGTGGTGGTTTACTAAAGGTTTGGCACAAAGTTGGCAAATAGGCCTACTATGCATGTGAATGATTGTATGGACGTTAAGCAGGGGGTGGGTTTGCCTAAATATTGTTTCCCTATGCAGATAAGAGCTGTGGTAGTGCTGATTCACACTAGGCTACTCCTGCTCAACCCTTTTTTATCTGCAAAAAACGCATCAATGAAGAACAATGGCTACAAGTCTAACTTCACACCCCAAATAGCTACGCATGATATGTTTACGCCAACCTATAGCACTACATTCAGGGCCACATAATATTAATCATGCTTGTCTAGCCCCTATGCTGAGTTCCATATCCAAGTGGCTTGGTATACTTACACATAAGCGTGGTAAATAAACGCCCATCCCCGCGGTCTTTCAAGTGCATTATATAGAAAATTCTGTAGTTTCCTATAGCTGGGGTTTTTCTTCGGCGTTCTCCCACCTCTTACTGCACTGGATCTCCGTCTGCATAGGATACTGGTCCGCTTTGTGCTTTCCGATCCCGCAATCAGCTGCGCCCCGTCCCTGCTTGATTCTGGAGCCCCGGGGTCCAATCCTACAAAGCCGACTTTGTGCTTCTTCTCTCCGGCTTGAGTTGGGTAAACCCCACCGTTAACATTTTTCTGCACCATTCTAAAGTCGAGGTGACTCAAACGGAGAGTTTTCAATCTCGTTGCGGGGAGGCATCACTGGTGAGGGTTGTGTGTGCTCGTAAGTGCAGTCAGTGTCCCTCAGGAATAGCAATTGCAATGTTCATGCGATTGCGAATCTGCAATGTGTAGCATATACTGTATAGGCTTCTCTCTTAGCTCCTTCCGGCCATCTGACAAGCCTGGATAGGGGGCAATGCGCTTTAAATATGTTACAATCTATACACGTAGGCCTAAGCAAAATTATGTTAAAAAAATATACTGAACAAAAATAAACGCAACACAGTGTGTTGGTCCCATGTTTCATGAGCTGAAATAAAAGATCCCCGAAATTTTCCATACACACAAAAAGCTTATTTCTCTCAAATTGTGTGCACAAATTTGTTTACATCCCTGTTAGTTAGCATTTCTCCTGCCAAGATAATCCATCCACCGTTCATATTTTTGTTCAGTATAAAATGGTGATGTCAAATAGGCTGGCAAGCAAAACGTATCTACAGTAGCCTAATACCAATACCATTCATGTTTAAATTACAATACCATAATGGTTCATTCTCATTAGAGAGATGGCAAATGGATGGTTTAGGATGACCTTAGAACTTGCTAAATTAAAGTCTAAGTTGTAAACAAGATTCCTGTATGCAAGTGCAGAGGCCCCAGTTAACTATTAATACAGTACAATCTAAAATGAACTTCTCCATCCAAGATTCACTCCAATATCCCTCTTTGCCATCACTCAAGTATTGCTCCTCAGTCCTCACTCCCTTCAAGTTATGACAAGGGAGAGCATAGCCTCAGGCTTTCATTATATCTTGCACACAGATAATACAATATTTATAACCTATGAGTCCAGTCTTCCTTAGTCAAGATAATGGACACTTAAACCTAATCATCCTGTATGTTGCATCCATATCATGTTCACGGTTAGGATTGGGCGTAAAGGATACATGCTACAGCAATAAGGCTCCCTCCCTGAATATCTTATTAAGTTAAGGCTTGGAGAGCCCCCGTAAGGAAGACTGGAAGCCCTCTAGAGACAGGGCTAATGGTAGAGGTGGTGATAGGGGCAGTTGGACAGAGCACTTAGACTTTCCTCAGATAGAAAATGGCTGTGTGATGCTGTAAAATCAATGTACAAAGCAACCCAACATGGCATCTGTGTTTCCATTTCACTTCATTCAAGACATGAGGGCTGACATGATTGATCCAAAACAGAATCTTACACATAGGCAAGAGTGAAGATGTGATGGTGTCTGTGTTTCTCTCTCTCTCTCTCTGTGTGTGTGTGTGTGTGTGTGTGTGTTTTTCCATCATCATCATCATCACCAGGGTGAGAACACAGAGTAAGAATTGGAACACAAGCAACCACAACCACCATGGTGCACCCACTACAAAACTCCACCTAACCCTGGCCTGTAAACCAATGATGGACCTTTACTCACACAACTGGTTTAAATGCAGTAAGTGGTGGACTCCATGATTATGGAGCCTGAAGGTGTTCTTGGGAGGGTCCCCTGAGAAAAAAGTCAGCTTAACAGAAATGTGGGTCACAATTTGGGGTAACACTTCTTTTTACAGTATCAATGTATTTACCTGGTATTAAGAACATGTGTGTGTACCTCAATACTTACTCCTTAGAATTCAACAATGTTTTGTGAATAGCATTTTATTTTACTAGCTTGTTAAAGTTCAATTTACAAATGGTACTTTTAGAAAGAAATATTCAAAAACGTATTTGTACAATTATTTTCAGGCAACATAAAATTGCAAATAAAGTATGTACAGCGATGAGAAATTAAAACATGTAAATGTTACCAGTGACGTCTTTTTCCCTGTACATACCGACATACAGGATTCATAAGCTAATGACTGACATTGGAGTAAAGCAAGATGGACAAACTCTTATTAATACTGTAATCTGTCCAAGAGTAAAGACAGCTGCACAGATTGCTTTACAAGGCTTTACATTTCTATCAATGGGCGAACTGGTAAGAGTGCAACAATTTATCAATTGATCACTTAATGACAGCTATGCCAACATCAGAGGCTGTAAAGAGAATTTAAACCGAGCTGTGTTCATCAGGGCATGCAACGGACAACGTTTTAAAAAAATGTTTTGCAACAGAAAACAAAAGTAAGTGTTTCTAATTGGCCAAGTCCAGGTAGTCCCTTCCTGTTTTACTCAGCCAAATGAACATGACCCTCCTCAACTGGGACCTGACAAGAGCTTCTAAATAAATAACAAGGGCTGAGCGACTAGTCAGAGTGCAGCATCTCGACACAGATCCAAACCAAGCTGAAACGAAAGTGGAGTCATTTTAACGGTCAACAACAACGTCAGTGTGGATATACTCGACCCCAAAATCCGTCCCTGTCCAAATGTACAATATGAATACCCAAAAAAGTTTAAAAGTTTTACATACTATATTATCTTGATAAAAATAATCAAATTTAAATTATAGCATTAACTCTGCTGCCAAAGGCATAGATATAGACCATATCCTATTTTCTCTGACAGACATTGGTTACAGTAAGTATGTACAAGAAATATAACATCTTCAATAAAATAATGCTACTGTTTATCAAGAGATAACTTCACTGATCCCTCTGTTGTTGTCATTCTCGGACGGTTTACAGTACTTTGTGCTAAAACTTCAGAGTGATTGGATGAATCCTTGTGCTATTTTAAATATCGAAACATTAAGATCAATCGCAAAGAAGTCACCGCAAAACATCGGTTTTGTGAGTTGGCTGGGTCAACAGGAGGCAATCTCACACTATTAATATTATCGAATATATATTAATACTTTAAAAGGCTTTAAAAATTCCAACCTGTTGACTCGGGATGGAGATTGGCAAACACAAATGGCTCTGAGATTAGATAAAGTTAGCTCACCTTCCTATTTCTCTTTAACAACACTCCCTGCATTTTAACACTCCAGAGGAAATGACAAAGACAAAATCAAAACATAAAAAAATAGATAAGGAGTTCTTTAAAAAAAAAAACATGGCATGCCATTGGTCCATTAAATACTGCATGATGCGTAGGCTGGAATGCTTTCAATTCTTGAATACCTGATATTATTGAGTAATACAATAAATAACTATGCTTCATAGCGCAGTAATACAGTACTCACACTAGCCTACAGTAATTGCACATTCGCCGCATGCAAGGGGGGCTAAGGCAAAGGGCAGCCCATACCATCCATCCATCTTTCCATCCATCCCTCACCTCCATCACTTAATTTAACCCTTCTCTCCTCCTTGATGCAGTGTCTCCTGTTCCTAACTGCAATACCAGACACGCTGTCTGACGGAGATACCACACACTGGCGTTGCAGTCCAAGGCAAAGTGAATAAAGAAGAAGAATGTCTGCTACAGGTGGTTTTGCGTTAATCCAGTTAATAATAGCCTGGTGTGAGCATTGTCGTGGTGGTGGACATCTATTTGTTAGGCCATGTCTTGTCTGATGTCACCATCCCCACACTCCTCTCTAGGTTCCCAACAACGGGTAACCAGGTCAGTGGCGGGTTGCCAGGTCAGTGACAGCAGTCTCATGTCACAGAGGGGTTAGTTTGGGGGGAGAGGGGTACTATACAGGACACCACGGACCCTGATGTGTCTGTGATGGAATGTTCCATTTGGGGCAAGGGGGGGGACCCACACAAGGGATTGGCCTTATGTCTATTACTCCTGGTTGGGGGAGCAGAGCAGAGTGCTCCCTGTTCTCTCTCCTCCCCCATTCTACCTTACCCATTGATCTCTAGTCACCGAGGCTTCAGTTTATCGCTAATTCCTCTACTAGGAATAAAGACACAGCACCCCTTTCTCTTATAGATCTCCGTCTTGGGGTGGCAGACATAACTTGAAGAGCCTGCGGGAAGGAGGAAAAATAAGAAATGATTTTAAGATATGGTCTTAAAATAAAATACATTAATAAAAAGATCTGGTCTTAGTGTAGCCTGCTTCCAGATCTGTTTGTGCTGTCGAATCCGACAGCACAAACAGATCTGGAACCTGGTTAGTACTTTCAAACTACTTTGTAAATAAGAGTGAACTGATTCCTATTATCTGTACCTTGGGGCTGCGGGTGGCATCTGGTCCATCACTTTGAGGTTTTTAGCCGAGATCTCTACCCTGGTGCCCTATCAGAGAGGGTTAGATAATGTTTACATATTTAGACTGAGGACAAGTGCCCACTAATGTACCCAAATCATCTATCTGCTCAGACAGTGTTCCTAAAGTTGTATTTCTACTTAATGCCTTTAGGTTAAGAGCGACCCACACTTATTGGTGAGAAACTACTATGTGCAAACTAAATGTACCTGTTCCACTGCATCGTTGTCCTGATGTATGTAGTGAATGTTTTAGAATTGAGTTCAAAACCAAGGTTAAAAGTAAAGTATAGTTTGTCACTACAGTACTGCTTCGTAAGGCTATGGTATACAGTAGGTGGAAGTTGCCTCCTTTCATATTCAGTTTACATTAAAGATTAGCAAGGGGACAGAGAGAGATCTGGGTTGTCATTATTAGGCACCAAACGGAAGAAAACGGACTGAAACAGGGAGGGACTATAAGAAAACATGTTCTATAAGAAACATGTTCGGTTTCCATTGCAAAACATTTTGTTACGGTTTGCCCTAATGAATACGACCCAGGTCCGAGATCTGTTGCTAAAGGTGTAAAGCGGTGAAGGGTGTGGTTAGAGCACCTGTTTGCGCATGATGTCCATGGTCTGCATGATGCAGCGGGGCATGAGGCCGTGGTTCCGCGCCAGGATCATAGCCTGCTCCAGGGTCACGCTCAGGGTGCACCTACTCAATACAAAGGTCAGAGGTTAGGAGGTCAAAGGTGATTTGACTGTGTTATGAGAGTACAGTGTTATGTAAAGGCTGCTGTGTGGTGGCTAATAGGAGAAAGGGTTGAAAATACACCGTTTTAAAGTGGGTAAGGCATACATTGCATTATGCATGTCTAAGCACTACACCTGACATAGCAATACATAGATATTCATGAGTGTTTGCTCAAGCTGACACAAACTGTCAGCACTATTGCATCACTTTCAAGGTCATACGACTGACCTTTGCATGCCGGTGGCACACATTGTAATGTGGCAGGCACCCAGGCGGTTGCACAGCTCCGAGGACACACACAGCAAGCTGACACCCGACGGGTGGCCCGCTACGTTGGGACGCACGTTCAGGTACGTGTGCATCAGGCGACACAGGTCGTCCAGGGTGTTGAGGGGTCGTAGGAGCTGGGAGGGGGGAGAAGGGGGACAAGACAGGGGTTTAGGGGTTAACATCTTAAAGGTGAACTCCAACTTTCCTTTCCGGTCAAAAGTACTGCCCCTGAGCTTGTTTGTAAACAGAGAGTCATTTTGATTTCTGTTTACCTGGTCTATCTTCATAGCCGTGGTGTTAGAGTCAGTGGGTAGATTTGACTTCTCCAGGTAAAAAGCCCTGTTAGAACACAATGGGTTATCATTCAATATGAACGCTATTGACCAATTAATTGACATGTTGATATTCTATTTACTCTATTTAGCCAAACTAATCAGCATAGGAATAAACTGTGTGGGTATTACAATACAGTGGTGGGTAGTTCAATACAGTGGTGGGTAGTTCAATACATACTACTATATATCAGGTGTGTAGGTGTCTACCTGGGTTTTCAGTAGTAGGCTTTGACTATGTAAGTGGGTAGTATAATGGATATGACTGTGTATAAAGTGTGTAAATTGCTACCTGAGTTTTCGGTAGTAGGCTTTAACCCTCTCCAGTGAGATGGCGTTGGTGCGCTGCTGGAACTCTTCCATGGACACACAGTCCTGTTGGGACACTCCCTCTGGCCTCTCCAGGGCTGACCCAGGGACAGAGATAACACATTAACAATACAGTACACACACACACAAACCTGCTGAGCACAGGTCATAGAATGTATGTGGGACAATTAACTACACTGTGACCTACACATTGCTAATACTTATCTTAAAGTGACAGCTCTACTAACGTCTGTATTTGTGAATCTGTATTTAATTAAACAACTGTATTCCATAGAAGCAGCCTGTAGGTGGCGGTAACAGCCAGTTTATTCCTATTTCTCTGGGTCTCTGACTGCAGTACAGTGTTATATTACATCACAGGCTTCTTCTTTGAAGCGGCCACTTAACAATGGGAGCCTCCCTACAGGGTTATTGTCCCAATTGGCACATGTGTATGGAAAATGAATGGTTCCCTAGCATAATTCCAGCCATTTATACTGACCCAGTGCAGGTCGAAAGGGCGTTGCAGTGAAAGAATAGAGAGGGAGTGGCTAGATAGGCCCAGGTTATACTTCACAGTCCGTTATTCAAATGGTAGTTATGACAATGTAAATGGTAATTATATAACAAATACTCTAGAATTAGTATTTTGTTTGTGAAACTCTATAGTCACTTTCACGCTGGCATTTTCACTAGAACATTTAGCAGCTAATCAGTTAAGAGAAAGGGATTAAGAGATACTGATTCAATGCCCTCTGTTGATGTACTGTTGATTATTATAGATATGGGCCACATCCCAAATAGCCCCCTATTCCCTATACAGTAGATTACTTTTGTGCACTAAATAGGGGGCCATTTGGGACGTTCCCATGATCATAGTGTAGACAGAGGTTGGCATGACTTCTCCAGGCTGTTACAGGATGTTACAGGTGAATATGAAGAAATTGTTCTATACATCTCGTTTCTACTGTATCTGCAACACTGTGTGCATAGTCAAGATTATAGCAAATTGATAGCCTCTGCATTGTGAAGATCTGTGTATTTGTGAACCTGCAACATATTTCCGGAACATTTCCTTAGTGCATTTCAAATTCAATCCAATGCCATTTGATTTGACTTGACTCAATTCAATTCAATTCAATTCAATTCAATTCAATTCAATTCAGCAAACTGTGATTCAATTAGGATTTGATGACAATCTGACTGGACTCAAATTAATTCAGCTAATTTTGATTCAATGATGATTCGATGACGATTCGACAATTAAATTAAGCCAACTTTGATTTGGTGATGATTTGACTTGACTCGACTCAATTGAGTCGAGTCAAGTCTAACTCTAACTTTGTGTGGAGGAGGTAGACTAGAGGGCTGTTCTGTTCCTACTCACCCCTGGTGAAGAGCACAGTGTGCAGTTTGAGGCTGCCCCCGTTCTGCAAGCGCGTGGGGAGCTCACTGAAGTGGCAGCTGTCCAGATACAGGGTGACCTTTAGGGCCTGCCGGCTGCCCTCCACGTGGTAACACACCGGCGTGTCTGGGGATCACAACATACACACACACCACTGCTTAGTTTGGGTTAATGTTAGAAGAGTTCATAGAGTTCTGTGCCTGTATTTATTAATCGTATAAGAGTCAGTGCTGATCAGTTTGGCCCTTTAGCTCATAATATAATCAGATTATTATGGACAGGGAGGACCTGATCCTAGATCAGCACTTCTACTCTGAGATGCTTGATAAATACGGTCCCTGGTTGCCTTTCCCTTCACTTAGGCATGAGGTGACAGTACACACTGGAGCACTGTGACTGTTTACTTAGAGATAATAGCGATCAGAATGTTGCATTTATCATGTTACACAAATACAACATTAGTATTCAGTGTTCTATATTCTGCAACATCCACCGATCCATTACATATTTAATTTGATGGGTTTGTAGTTATCAGACATAGGCATAATTGGTATGGATTCTTGCTTCAGTGGCCCGCCTAACACCATCCAAAGCTATGGGGGAAACCCTAGGAACAACACAACCCCTGTGAGGTCAGCGGACCGCCTTCTGAAGACCATCCACCCATAATCCTTTTGGATTGAGTGTGATGTTTTAGACTAACCCTTCACCCAACCTTTCATCTCCATAATGCTTACACATGGCTCTAATGAAACTATAGTACAGGGGGGCTTGCTGAACGGGCATTTTTCAAATCAATACCGTCAGACGAGCTTGCAGCCACGAACAGACTGTCTGCCTGCACTGCTCTACAGTAGTTAGCTAGGCCACGCCATCCTGCTGAAGTGGGCATGTTTTCCAAAAAGCAATTTCAGAGTAAAAAGGTTTTTAAAGGAGGGAGGAAGGTGTGTGTGTGTGTGTGTGTATACACTGATATGCTTACTGCTTAGCAGTAACCTAGAATAGTACATCCCCGTTTTATCCATGGCTTTCTCCCCCAAAATGCAAAATGCATCTGATGTGCTTGCTTAAAGCAGCAATCTAAGCTCACCATATTGCGGGTCGTGAAAAGGAACAGACTGGTCTTTCAGCGAAGCTGGGTTTCACAGAGGTGTTTCATTGAAATGAAGCTGCAATTCTATGACAGGGGGAAAACTCTGGGTCTACAGTAACAAAGCCCTTTGTTGTGGTTGACATCCAAGGTGTGTGTCGAACCACCACACGTAAACACCACTTACAACTCCCTCGACTGGCCACCGTTGCTAAGAAAATATGTGGTTGCTATGGGAAAGGGTCTACTTACTTGCAACCAGGCATTCATCCTCCAGCTGGCGGAAGAACACAGTGACTTTGTCCAGGTCCAACAGGGCCGCCTTGGTATCCTCCAGCATCGTCCTCTCCTCCTTCTACACAGTAGAGAGAAGACAAAGCTCAGCTAACAGGCCAGGGAGCGTATTCACAAAGAGTCTCAGATTAGGAGTGTTGATCTAGAATCTGTTTTTCCTTTTAGATTATAATGAATAAGATTATATGGACAGTGGGGACCTGATCCTAGATCAGCACTCTGAGACTCTTGGTGACTATGAGCCCAGGGCTCACTGTTTTAGCTTAGCAGTCAATGGAGACAGCGGAGTGTGGAAAGAGGCCTCAGATAGTCAATGGCACCCTTCTTTCTGGATCAGCACAGTACAGAGCCATTATACACTGCTCAAAACAATTAAGGGAACACTAAAATAACACATCCTAGATCTGAATGAATGAAATAATCTTATTAAATACTTTTTTTCTTTACATAGTTGAATGTGCTGACAACAAAATCACACAAAAATGATAAATGGAAATCAAATGTATCAACCCATGGAGGTCTGGATTTGGAGTCACACTCAAAATTAAAGTGGAAAACCACACTACAGGCTGATCCAACTTTGATGTAATGTCCTTAAAACAAGTCAAAATTAGGCTCAGTAGTGTGTGTGGCCTCCACATGCCTGTATGACCTCCCTACAACACCTGGGCATGCTCCTGGTGAGATGGCGGATGGTCTCCTGAGGGATCTCCTCCCAGACCTGGACTAAAGCATCTGCCAACTCCTGGACAGTCTGTGGTGCAACGTGGCGTTGGTGGATGGAGCGAGACATGATGTCCCAGATGTGCTCAATTGGATTCAGGTCTGGGGAACGGGCGGGCCAGTCCATAGCATCAATGCCTTCCTTTTGCAGGAACTGCTGACACACTCCAGCCACATGAGGTCTAGCATTGTCTTGCATTAGGAGGAACCCAGGGCCAACCGCACCAGCATATGGTCTCACAAGGGGTCTGAGGATCTCATCTCGGTACCTAATGGCAGTCAGGCTACCTATGGCCCCCCAAAGAAATGCCACCCCACACCATGACTGACCCACCGCCAAACCGGTCATGCTGGAGGATGTTGCAGGCAGCAGAACGTTCTCCACGGCGTCTCCAGACTCTGTCACGTCTGTCACATGTGCTCAGCGTGAACCTGCTTTCATCTGTGAAGAGAACAGGGCGCCAGTGGCGAATTTGCCAATCTTGGTGTTCTCTGGCAAATGCCAAACGTCCTGCATGGTGTTGGGCTGTAAGCACAACCCCCACCTGTGGACGTCGGGCCCTCATACCACCCTCATGGAGTCTGTTTCTGACCGTTTGAGCAGACACATGCACATTTGTGGCCTGCTGGAGGTCATTTTGCAGGGCTCTGGCAGTGCTCCTCCTGATCCTCCTTGCACAAAGGCGGAGGTAGCAGTCCTGCTGCTGGGTTGTTGCCCTCTTACGGCCTCCTCCACGTCTCCTGATGTACTGGCCTGTCTCCTGGTAGCGCCTCCATGCTCTGGACACTACGCTGACAGACACAGCAAACCTTCTTGCCACAGCTCGCATTGATGTTCCATCCTGGATGAGCTGCACTACCTGAGCCACTTGTGTGGGTTGTAGACTCCATGTCATGCTACCACTAGAGTGAAAGCACCACCAGCATTCAAAAGTGACCAAAACATCAGCCAGGAAGCATAGGAACTGAGAAGTGGTCTGTGGTCACCACCTGCAGAACCCCTTCTTTATTGGAGGTGTCTTGCTAATTGCCTATAATTTCCACCTGTTGTCTATTCCATTTGCACAACAGCATGTGAAATTTATTGTCAATCAGTGTTGCTTCCTAAGTGGACAGTTTGATTTCACAGAAGTGGGATTGACTTGGAGTTACATTGTGTTGTTTAAGTGTTCCCTTTATTTTTTTGAGCAGTGCAATTACACTACTCTATTGATGGTTCCTAGATGGCTTGACATTTCTACTTGGTGCTCCTATGCTGATGATACTTTGCTGTATTGGTGTTTTGAATTGTGTTTTTAATGTGTATTTACCGTTTTTACTGGAGATGCCTAGCCAGCTATTCTTTGAAAAATTAGTATTTTGACCTCAATGGAGTAATAAAAAGGTCAAATAAAAATGAAATGGTTTCATATTATTGATTAAACTTAATCAAGCGCAACTCAACTATGTGACCCAAGTCTGCTGATTGTCGAAAGGCAAATAAATCACGTCAGTATAGGTTTAAAGTCTTTGTTTAAGCAGCAGGGCTCTACAACCCTGTTCCTTGTAGGTCATCACTCCAACCCCAGTTTCAGCTTATCAACCAGCTAATCATTTGAACCAGGTGCGCTAGATTAGGGTTGAAGCGAAAACCTACAAGACGGTAGCTCTCCAGGAACAGGGTTGGAGAGCCCTGCATTACAGTAGCCGGGACATTTTTGCCGCAGTACAGTCTCTTACCACATGGGGCGCCAGTGAGGACTGGAAGTTGAGCAGCACGCCGATGGCGGCCGCCTGTTCCAGCCACTTGCGGCTCGTCTCCTTGCTGTCCTCCTCGTACTCGCCGGCGTTGTTGAAGCGTGCACGCAGCGCCGCCAGGAGCTGCTCGGCCAGCGTGCACACGGCTCCCGCCGCGCTCTGGCAGAAGATCACGTCCCGCCGCAGCTGCAGAGCCGTGTCTGGGGTGGAGGGGAGGGGGAAATAAGATAAGCATTTTATTTTTCACAGAAATTTGCTTTACTAACTTCTTACAGGACATTTACAAAATCAGCAACCTACAAACCATATACAGGGAATTCTCCAAGTGATTAGAGGGATGGAGTAGAGGAGAATAATGGAAAGAGGTGAGAGAGAGGTCAGTGGAAGAGCGGTAAGAGGAAGGGAGTAATTGAAAAAGAAAATTAGTGATAGAGGAGGGAAGGGTAAAAGAAAGAGGGAAAGAGAGAGCATGAGACGGGCAGTTGACAACCGTTCTTACTATCAACACAACTGACAGAAATACTGCCTTTGCCTGGCCCCTCAGAGAATGAGAGAATCAATCACTCATCTAATCAACCTGAATAACACCAAGTCCTTTCTAACCTTCCACCTCAGAGTGGTGTGTAAACTCTAATCTAACATAGCCAGGGAGTTTACAATCTGCTCTATTACAGTGACTCATTCATGAGGACAGGGCCATTAACAACTGACATATGGCACGGCACACTTCAAAGGAACACACACGCAGACACACTCACACAGAGATAAGGCTGGCATAAGGCTTACCTGTACATTTGAGCAGGGCCAGAAGCAGCTGGTTCTTCCCATCTACAGAAAAATTAGGATTTTATTACTTAAGTGATACGCGTGTTTCTGCTGTAGCTATGTGATTGTGTGTGATGGCTGTGTTACATGTGTGCTTATGGTGTGTGTGTGTTTTCTACTGACCGTCCACAAATCTCTGTAGGCTCTCCACCAGTGTCTTGATGGAGCTGGGCAGGTTCCAAGGGTCCTCCTGGATGTTCTTGTGGATGATGTAGCGACAGCGTACTGTCCAGTCCTCAGTGTGGCGGAACTCTGCTCAGAAAACATGGGGTGTCAATTAATTTGTCAATTAATTAGCAATATAAATGCTAGGAGAATTCTTCAGTATAACACCATTTCACATCTATACACACATCTATTCACACATACACATTCTCATTTCTCAGTGATACCCTGACATGTCTCTCTCTCTAAACAAACATGCACTCAGACATATCTTACACACTCACACACACTAAACGTAGTGGGTACCTGGCTGAGTGTGGTCGGGGTGAAAGTGCTTGGTTTCCTCGCAGGCCTTGGTCATGACGGGCCCTTTGAGCAGGCTATTAATGGAGTCCACCTGCAGATGACAGTCACAACCAGTCAGACACATAGGCTGGCCTCAGTCTCTCAACATCAACAACAACAACAACAGGAAACTGGGGCCCAGGAAATCGACGGGAGCCAAAATGGTAGTGTCCCTCTGGGAATATGGGAGAGGTCAAAGGGCATGAGATGTGTAAGAGGAGATGCAAGGAAGATGACAAAGAGAGGAGAGATTGCAAAACAAGGTAATGCACTACAGATGATTACTACTACTGATTACTATCAACATGATCTGTGCCAAATGTTTCTGAGGGCTAATGGAAAACGTGTGTGTGTGAGAGAGAGAGAACGTCTGTGTGAGATAATGTGTGTGTGAGAGAGAACATCTGTGTAAGAGTGTGTGTGTGTGTATGCATGTGCGCGCGTATGCATGTGCGCGCATGTGTGTGTATGATTTTAGTGCCGAGCAGTGTTTACAATACACACAACACTGTATTAACCATGGCATGGCATACAAAAACAGAGTGAGATGTGGGTTGGCAAAGCCATTGAAGCTGATTGCACAGAGGACAGTGGTAAAGATGGTGCACCTGGTTGAAAAGGTGCTCCAGACAGCCATGCAGCTTGTCCTGCTTGTCTGAGGGAATCCTCATGTCACAGGGCAGCTCATCACCTGAGAAAGAAATAAATTCTGAACATTTTCCCACATAAGGCAAACCAATGCATCCTTAATGCTAGAGGGGTATGAACATCTTAGTCTACATTAACTGTTTCTTACCTGAACCCATCTCGTCACTCCCCAGGTAAGAGCTGTTGCTACGCACACTTGTGTATGACAGGACGGAATCCCTGTTACTGTTACATTCACTGCAACACAGACAGGAGTTTATACAGACAGAGACAGAGAGAGAGTCAGAAACAGTTGAATAACAAACCAGAGTTCATTCATTCCCTACAGAAAAAACACCAAGTCAAATGTGGAGTCTGTCTTGTAATTATCCAGTCAAATAATCCGACTGACTGTATGAAATATATAGTCAGATTGAGCAGTAATCAAATGCTTCAACTTACTTCATTGGCGGGACTAAAATGCATTCCACCGAGCTGTCGTAACGTGTGGCTACACCAATGTCCCAAACAAGAATTCAATTAATAAATACCAGGTAAGTTGAAGCTAAATGATATTCAAACATTAAAAGGAGATGCCTCCACCACCCCAAAGATATATTTATTTTAGTTCGAAAAATATATACAGTATATTTCGAAATTTGTTTCCATTTGTTGTCAGTGGCTAGTTTAACAAAACCAAAGTGTGGATTGCTGTCACTCCTTGTCCTTATGGTAAGGAAACAAATGTACATTCGCTGAACTACCCCATTAATGCTCAAGATTTATTCTCTTCCAATTATCCCTACATTTTCAATGCATTTTAATAGCCAGATATGCATCTCATCTTGCCTAAAATGCCTTTGGATGGCTTTTTATGGCTTCGTTGGATATTTTCAAATGGAAGGTCTTAAAAAGATGATTAGTGTGAGCGCAGAAAAGATTTACTGGGTGCAAATTGCAGATTACACACCTACTCTTGTGAATGTTTTCTGTGTGCGTCGTGGCATTATCATGTAAATGCTGAATCATACGAGTTTAAGGAGCCAGAAGTAGCATTGTCATCCCGTTAAAACAATCGCTTTGTTTTGCTTTGCTATAATCATCCAGCTTGGCAACAAACTGGTCCACAATGTGAACTGGAAGCCACAGGAATCAACTCCAGCATAGTGCAGGTATGGGCAACCCGCGGTCCACCCCCCTTTTGAAGGCCCTCAGATCAATTTCCACAAAACAAAACTAATAATACTAATTTTTTCGGGGGAACTCAGTCGGGATCTCAACTTACTGTTGCAAGTTAGAATAATATAATGAATACACAAGGTGCAATTTTGAAATGTGGCTGTGTTTCTCTTGTTACAGTATTTAAGTCACTGATAGTCACTCAATTAGCCCATGTCCGCAATTTTTTTTGATTGTAAGAGTCTAGTGGACAGTTAACTAAACTTAGTAATCATGGTCGAGAGGCCCCCATTGATTTTGTTAGTCTCACTAAGATACACTACATATACAAAAGTACAGTGCATTCGGAAAGTATTCAGACGCCTTGACTTTTTCCACTTTGTTACGGTACAGCCTTATTCTAAAATTGATTAAATTGTTGCATTTTTCTTATCAATCTACACACAATACCCCATAATGACATTTTTGCAAATGTATTACAAATAGAAAAATCACATTTACATAATTATTCAGACCATTTACTCAGTACTTTGTTGAAGCACCTTTGGCAGCGATTACTGCCTCAAGTCTTCTTGGGTATGACGCTACAAGCTTGGCACACCTGTATTTGGAGAGTTTCTCCCATTCTTCACTGCAGATCCTCTCAAGCTCTGTCAGGTTGGATGGTGAGCATTGCTGCACAGCTATTTTCAGGTCTCTCCAGAGATGTTCGATCAGGTTCAAGTCCGGGCTCTGGCTGGGCCACTCAAGGGCATCCAGAGACTTGTCCCGAAGCCACTCCTGCATTGTCTTGGCTGTGTGCTTAGGGTCGTTGTCCTGTTGGAAGGTGAACCTTCACCCCAGTCTGAGGTCCTGAGCGCTCTGGAGCAGGTTTTCATCAAGTATCTCTCTGTACTTTGCTCCGTTCATCTTTCCATCGTCTCCCAGTCACTGAAAAACATCCTCATGATCCTGCCACCACCATGCTTCACCGTAGGGATGGTATTGGCCAGGTGATGAGCGGTGCCTGGTTTTCTCCAGACATGATGCTTGGCCTTCAAGCCAAAGAGTTCAATCTTGGTTTCATCAGACCAGAGAATCTTGTTTCTCATGGGCTGAGAGTCCTTTAGGTGCCTTTTGGCAAACTCCAAGCGGGCTGTCATGTGCCTTTTACTGAAGAGTGGCTTCCCTCTGGCCACTCTACCATGGAGGCCAGATTGGTGGATTGCTGCAGAGATGGTTGTCCTTCTGGAAGGTTCTCCCATCTCCACAGAGGAACTCTGGATCTCTGTCAGAGTAACCATTGGCTTCTTGGTCACATCCCTGACCTAGGCCCTTCTCCCCCGATTGCTCAGTTTGGCCGGGCGGCCAGCTCTAGGAAGAGTCTTGGTGGTACAAAACTTCTTCCACTTAAGAATGATGGAGGCCACTATGTTCTTGGGAACCTTCAATGCTGCAGAAATTTTTTGGTACCCTTCCCAGATCTGTGCCGACACAATCCTGTCTCGGAGCTCTAAGGACAATTCCTTCGACCTCATGGCTTGGTTTTTGCTCTGACATGCACTGTCAACTGTGGGACCTTATATAGACAGGTGTGTGCCTTTCCGAATTGTGTCCAATCAATTGAATTTACCACAGGTGGACTTCCAATCAAGTTATAAAAACATCTCAAGGATGATCAATGGAAACAGGAAGCACCCAAGCTCAATTTTGAGTCTCATAGCAAAGGATCTTTTTTGTTTTTTATAAATGTGCAAAAATATCTAAAAACCTGTTTTCACTTTGTCATTATGGGGTATTGTGTGTAGGTTGATGAGGGGAAACAATTATTGAATCCATTTTAGAATAAGGCTGTAACGTAACAAAATGTGGAAAAAGTGAAGGGGTCTGAATACCTTCCAAATGCACTGTATGTGGAAACCCCATAAAATTTGTGGATTCTGCTATTTCAGCCACTCCCGTTGCTGACGTGTATAAAATCGAGCACACGAGCTCACAGAACGGGACTGCCGAGTGCTGAAGCGCATAGCATGTAAAAATCGCCTGCCCTCGGTTGCAACACTCACTTCCGAGTTCCAAACTGCCTCTGGAAGCAACGTCAGCACAATAACTGTTCGTTGGAGCTTCATGAAATGGGTTTTCATGTCCGAGCAACCGCACACAAGCCTAAGATCACCATGCGCAATGCCAAACATTGGCTGAAGTAGTGTAAAGCTCGCCGCCATTGGACTCTGGAGCAGTGGAAACGTGTTCTCTGGAGTGATAAATCGCGCTTCACCATCTGGCAGTCCGACGGACTAATCTGGGTTTGGTGGATGCCAGGAGAACGCTACCTGCCCCAATGCATAGTACCAACTGTAAAGTTTGGTGGAGGAGGAATAATGGTCTGGGCCTGTTTTTCATGGTTCGGGCTAGGCCCCTTAGTTTCAGTGAAGGGAAATCTTAACGCTACAGCATACAATTACATTCTAGAAGATTCTGAGCTTCCAACTTTGTGGCAACAGTTTGGGGAAGGCCCTTTCCTGTTTCAGCATGAAAATGCCCCCGTGCACAAAGCAAGATCCATACAGAAATGGTTTGTCGAGATCGGTGTGGAAGAACTTGACTGGCCTGCACAGAGCCCTGACCTCAAACCCATCGCACACCTTTGGGATGAATTGAAATGCCGACAGCGAGCCAGGTATCTAGTGGAAAGCCTTCCCAGAAGAGTGGAGGCTGTTATAGCAGCAAAGAGGGGGGGGGACCAACTCCATATTATTGCCCATGATTTTGGAATGAGATGTTCAACGAGCAGGTGCCCACATACTTTTGGCCATGCAGTGTATCAAATTAAAACCCGCAAACATTTATCTCCACCCTATGGAAACGTTTGTAGAATTGCAGCAAACTTGCTTTAAGACTGCAACATTTTTTCTCTGGCCCATGGCAAAATGTGTAGAATTGCACGAAATGAACTCATAAATGGGATGCTGGATCATTCCCGACAAGCTGGGACTGAAGTGCCAACCTTTACGTAATACACCCAGGGCTTTGGCTTCAATTCTCTGCTCCAAGCACACGATCACACTCAGGCACTCACGCACGCACGCACGCTCACACAAGCTCTCCTGGGAGAGGGTTCTAAATTTAGTCTTATCTCGTGGCAGGTTTGGAGCGGCCCACCCTCACCAGATGTGACGAGACAGACTGTCTAAGAGACAAACAAACCAGACTGCTGGTGGGTGTACAATTAACTATTTTTCTTTCCTTTTTCAGTCTTTTTTTTTTTTCAGTCATTTGCTCATTCCTCTCCCTCTCCTTTCACTGTGGTGTCGCTCCCTCTATTTTCCTCTCCAAGACTCTCCCGAAGTCTTTTGCTGTTGACCGTCACCTTCCCCTATCCCTCATTCTTGGTGTTTGTCTGCCGGTCTGTCACCTATCGGTATGTCTTTCTCTTCAATCATCATGAACGTTATGCATTTATAAAGTGTTTCTCGCCCAGTCCAAAATCCCATTGGATGACCGGACAACTCACCCCATCCAGCATCAAACCTATAGCACCCTCTCCATGTGTTTCTACTAACATGCTAAATGCTAATTTTGTTGCCAGCCTCTTCCGCGATAGCCTGGGGACGTGGTTAGCACCCTATTCCCTATGTAGTGCACTACTTTTGGACAGACTCATATACACTAAGTGTACAGAACATTAGGAACACCTTCCTAATATTGAGTTGCACGCCTTTTGCCCTCAGAGCAACCTCAATTCATCGGGGCATGGACTCTACAAGGTGTCGAAAGCGTTCCATTTTGACTCAAATGCTTCCCACAGTTGTGTCAAGTTGGCTGGATGTCCTTTGGGTGGTGGACCATTCTTGATACAAACAGGAAACTGTTGAGCATGAAAAACCCAGCACCGTTGCAGTTCTTGACACACTCAAACCGGTGCGCCTGGCACCTACTACCATACCCCGTTTAAAGACACATATATTTTGTCTTGCCCATTCACCCTCTGAATGGCACATACACAATCCATGTCTCAAGGCTTAAAAAACCTGTCTCCTCCCCTTAATTAAAGTGGATTTAACAAGTGACATCAATAAGGGATCATAGCTTTCACCTGGATTCACCTGGTCAGTCTATGTCATGGAAAAAGTTCATAATGTTTTGTACACTCAGTGTAGTGCACTTCTTTTGGCCAGAGCCCATGAGGGTCTGGCCAAAAGTAGTGCACTGTATAGGGAATAGGGTGTCACTGCGGATGCAACCTGAGTGAGCTCACTAGGCCCTGTACTGTGGGTGGCTGTTGGCTAGAAGGAGTTGCGCTTGCTGCTCTAGTTGTAATGACAGACTGGGCAGAGAGAGAGAGAAGCGCAGGCTACTCATTTAGCCTCTATTACACACTGCACTCTCGCCAGGAGCTGACCACTGCCCTTAGTGGGTGGTAGTGGGCGGAGACCGTGGACCGGTGCCCGAATGACACTACCACCACTGCCAACAACCATCTGAATGAACTCAAGCTGGCGAGGAGGTAGCACAGTGACATCACCAAGACCACTGGACACATTTCATGTTTAGCTCCCCGATTTTATGTGATTCGACTCCCCACATCTGGAACCTATTGGGAGAGTCGAAGGGAACCCGATGCCGTCACAGTGAGAAACAACATTACAAATAGGGGGAGATCTTTGTTGTTGGTTTCACATGAAGCTGGCTCACGGAATTGGGAAACACCCATTTTCTTTACTGTACCTTAGGTTTTCTATGACCCTTTATTTTACCATGGTGAAATTGAGAGCACATTCTCATTTGCCCAAAATAGAGTAGAGGGTGAGCTGATCCTAGATCAGTGCCTAAGGGAAATGGAGTGGCATTGGAATGACGGCTCCTGTTGGGAGTTCACATTGGATGAGTGACACCTCTCCTCTGTCTTTCACCCACGAGGTAATTGCCCACCACAGATCTAGAATCAGATAATCCTACCCCCAATACTTACCTCAAACTTTACTGTGGATGAATAAATATCTAAACATGGTTACGGGTAACCTCCACCTCCACCTTTTAACCCATTGCACTACTTTTAGTATTATGGTGATTTGTATTGTATTATGTGCTTCTGCTTTGCTTGCCCTTGGGGGTTTTAGTCTGGGTATCTTTAAAGCACTTTGTGACAACTGCTGATGTAAAAAGGGCTCTATAATATACATTTGATTGATTAAAATACATTTGATTGGGAAGAAGCACCAATGTAAAATGTCCAAGACAGATTTCCTTTCGGGGACTGTAAAGTTAATCTTATCTCAACTCTCATCTTATCTTACCTGTAGGAGTCCCTGTAGCTCATGGTGTCGTGGCCTGAGTCCTCCTGGTCCTCCTCCGTCACCTTGAAGCAGACCCTCTTGATGCCCCCATGCTCAGCTTTTTCCTGGTCCCCCTCCTCAGGGGCCACGGAGGGGGGCTGGCTGGCCTCGTAGGCTGGGGGCTCGCTGCCCTGCGGCTGGGTGGGCTCCGTGATGGACGACAGGAGGCTGCAGTTATCGGCCATCGCATAGGAGGGGAAAACACATGAAAAGTAAGAGTAAGGGTAGAGGTTTTCTTATGTGACTCCTTTATCTGTCTTTTACACATGTGCGCCCAAACATGCAAGTGGACACACATACAGTATCTCACAAAAGTGAGTACACCCCTCACATTTTTGTAAATATTTGAGTATATCTTTTCATGTGACAACACAGAAGAAATGACACTTTGCTACAATGTAAAGTATTGAGTATACAGCTTGTATAACAGTGTAAATTTGCTGTCCCCTCAAAATAACTCAACACAGCCATTAATGTCTAAACCGCTGGCAACAAAAGTGAGTACACCCCTAAGTGAAAATGTCCAATTTGGTCCCAATTAGCCATTTCCCCTCCCCGGTGTCATGTGACTCATTAGTGTTACAAGGTCTCAGGTGTGAATGGGGAGCAGGTGTGTTAAATTTGGTGTCATCACTCCCTCATACTGGTCACTGGAAGTTTAACATGGCACCTCATGGCAAAGAACTCTGAGGATCTGAAAAAAAAGATGGCTGTCGTCCCAGAAGGAAGCCTCTTCTAACGATGATGCACAAGAAAGCCCGCAAACAGTTTGCTGAAGACAAGCAGACTAAGGACATGGATTACTGGATCCATGTCCTGTGGTCTGATGAGACCAAGATAAACTTATTTGGTTCAGATGGTGTCAAGCGTGTGTGGCAGCAACCAGGTGAGGAGTACAAAGACAAGTGTGTCTTGCCTACAGTCAAGCATGGTGGTGGGAGTGTCATGGTCTGGGGCTGCATGAGTGCTGCCGGCACTGGGGAGCTACAGTTCATTGAGGGAACCATGAATGCCAACATGTACTGTGACATACTGAAGCAGAGCATGATCCCCTCCCTTCGGAGACTGGGCCACAGGGCAGTATTCCAACATGATAACAACCCCAAACACACCTCCAAGACGACCACTGCCTTGCTAAAGAAGCTGAGGGTAAAGGTGATGGACTGGCCAAGCATGTCTCCAGACCTAAACCCTATTGAGCATCTGTGGGGCATCCTCAAACGGAAGGTGGAGGAGTGCAAGGTCTCTAACATCCACCAACTCCGTGATGTTGTCATGGAGGAGTGGAAGAGGACTCCAGTGGCAACCTGTGAAGCTCTGGTGAACTCCATGCCCAAGAGGGTTAAGGCAATGCTGGAAAATGATGGTGGCCACACAAAATATTGACACTTTGGGCCCAATTTGGACATTTTCACTTAGGGGTGTACTCACTTTTGTTGCCAGCAGTTTAGACATTAATGGCTGTGTGTTGTGTTATTTTGAGGGGACAGCAAATTTACACTGTTATACAAGCTGTACACTCATTACTTTACATTGTAGCAAAGTGTCATTCCTTCAGTGTTGTCACATGAAAAGATATACTCAAATATTTACAAAAATGTGAGGGGTGTACTCACTTTTGTGAGATACTGTATATTGCTTTTATATGCGCGCACATATCTTTTACACACACAGTAGAGAAGGTTTTCCCTCCTTTCAATAGGGTTGTGGCTTCACGGCCTGTTCCTGTTAGCCCAGTCCATAAACCGTTTTGGACTGACGAATTCCCCTGTTTTCAAAGTATCCACATTGTTAAACAAGCAAAAAGGGCAGTCAGACAAAGGGGGTTTGGCGTGGGCCTCAGGAAGGCTGCCTGGGGACAATGGTTTCATAGTATATTGGACATCCAGCCTTCCATTTTCATGCAGAATAATAACAGAGATCTTTGGAGGAAAATGTAAACGAATAGACTACAGGAACTAAAAATAAACGACGGTGATATATAATTGGGCAATTCTAAAACCGCTACTTGTAATTGAGAGGACGAAATACGGACAGAACGCATGACTCATGTCTTTGTGGGTTCCTACATGTGTATTATTTGGGTACTCACACTATTGGGGTACTTTGGGTAAAGTTGAACAATTTTACATTAAAAAAAAATGTTTTAGTCATTTAGGAGACGCTCTTATCCAGAGCGACTTACAGTTAGTGAGTGCATACATTATTATTATTATTTTATTTTTTTCATACTGGCCCCCTGTGGGAATCGAACCCACAACCATGGTGTTGCAAACGCCATGCTCTACCAACTGAGCTACATCCCTGCCGGCCATTCCCTCCCCTACCCTGGACGACGCTGGGCCAATTGTGCGCCGCCTCATGGGTCTCCCGGTCGCGGCCTGCTACGACAGAGCCTGGATTCGAACCAGGATCTCTAGTGGCACAGCTAGCACCTGCGCCATTCGGCAGGATTGAACAATGAAATTCAACTATAGTAGTTATAGTACACTTCAACGCAGGTACTTAGCAATGATACTCATATACACAGTATATCAGGCCGCATTATATCGGTTCGCGGGCCGTGTCTGGCTCGCGGGCCACCAGTTTGAGATCCCTGACATAGGTACTTAGCGAGGATTTTCACATATCTGTACTTACACGTCTATCTGGGTGACGTACTGCCTCATCTCTCGGACAGCGACGTCCAGGCGGCTGTAGAGGCGGATGTATGCATCCTGGATCTCCATGTCCTCCTGTTTGAGCAGGAAGCTGAGGCCCTTCCCCCGGTGGGCCTGCTGCCTCCTGTCTGGAGTGCCCTCTCCAGAGCCCTCGATGTCCCACTCCCCCTCCTCTCCCAGACCGCTGCAGCTGTAGGACGGGGCGCCCATGCTTGTCACACAGTGCTGGGTGTGGGACATGGGGTTCAGGTTAGCTGTGGGGAGAGAGAAAATCAATAGATAAATAAATAGAGGTAAAGAAAAGGAAGTGAAAGAAGCTGTACTTCACATCATGTCAGAAAAGCAGAGGTAGAAATAGAGAGGAGGGAAGAAAGGGAAAGAGCGAGGAGAGACAATCAACTTTCACTTCCAGAGACCCAGATCTACACCAGATGTTCAGCCTTCATACACAATAACACTCTTGTGAATATACAGCCTATCATTTTGACTCAAACTGTGCTTTTATATAAAGGGCCTTTATACATATCGCTGTTCTATGTACATTCTACTGCCTTGCGAGTCATGAAGAAATGCCTAGAACATGACAAAAACACAGTACAAAATAGTTTTTGTTATTTGGTATTGTGGTCCAATTCAAAATTCTACGTCCTGATCGTGGAGCCTGAGGGTGTAATGTTAGCACATAATAGCATAGGCTACGATTAAGTCGAGGAGCTCCTATACTTTGTGCACATTCCAGCCCTGAGAACTCTATGAAGCTACTAAATGCACTAAAAAAGCAGACATTTTGCATCACCTCAGGAAACATTCCTCACAATTCCATGCATTTCTGACCGCAAAGCCAATGAAGCAGTCACTTTGGAGTCGTAAAAAACGGAATTGTTTAGCCTGGTAAAGAAACTTTACACTTGGTTGCTGGGGGAATTGCCAATGTCTTGGCGAGGCACAACTGTAGAGTAGATGTCAAATCATGCTGCGAGAGACAGAGGAGGGAGGCAGGTTGAAACAATGCTAACGGTTATCTCAGATGGCTGGCTGTCTGTTGCAGCTTCCTCCCCTGTCTTCCCCTGGCTGTCTGCGCGGCGGCAGGCCAAACGGCAGGCTACTGACACCAGAGAGACTGACAAAACACAGACAGGAGGACCAGATGGGCCCATAGCGATACATATACACTGAGTATACCAAACATTAGGAACACCTTCCTAATATTGAGTTGCACCTCCCCCTTTTGCCCTCAGAACAGCCTCAATTCGTCGGGGCATGGACTCTACAAGGTGTCGAAAGCGTTCCACAGGGATGCTGGCCCATGTTGACTCCAATGCTTCCCACAGTTGTGTCAAGTTGGCTGGATGTCCTTTGGGTGGTGGACCATTCTTGATACACACGGGAACCTGTTGAACATGAAAAACCCAGCAGTGTTGCAGTTCTTGACACAAACCGGTGCACCTGGAACCTACTACCATACCCCGTTCAAAGGCACTTAAATCTTTTGTCCTGCCCATTCAACCTCTGAATGGCACACCTACACAATCAATGTCTCAATTGTCTCTAGGCTTAAAAATCCTTCTTTATCCTGTCTCCTCCCCTTCATCTACACTGAATGAAGTGGATTTAACAAGTGACATCAATAATGGATCATAGCTTTCACCTGGATTCACCTGGTCAGTCTATGTCATGGAAAGAGCAGGTGTTCTTAATGTTTTGTATACTCTGTGTATAATGTTCTATTTAATTCTGTGGATGGGCCAAGGGCTACACCTGTTAAGCTCTCTCTTTGCCCCTGCACCGAACAACCTCTACAGTAAAGTAATCTAATGATCACCTTCTTCCCATTTCCTCATCTCCCTCTTACTCTCTAGAGAATATCCCACCCTTGGTGCCTTGGAGGGCCCACTTCGATGACATCAATCATCACCCACAGAGAAGATGGTTACATGTGACGGCTTGGGGGGTGGAAGGAGGGTCGCCTGAGGCTAATAGAAGTTTTTAATGGGCGACCGATGGAGACGATTAGTGGTGGGATTACAACCACATTAGTGCTAATTTACTGTGGGAATTGTCACTATATGCGGCTAAAGGCTAACGAGGTTTGGTTCATCACGAGAGCTCAAAGTCATTTATACAGTGGGATTTAATTGGTCAAAGAGGGTAATTAGTTTAAATTATCTATTTGTTTGAAGCTTTAAAGTGGCTAATAGGCTAGCTGTGTAATGTTGTTAAGGGGATATTGGCCATTGTTGGCAAAACTCAACTGTGATTAGACTTAGGCATTGATACGACTCTCCAACTGGTCTCTATTGTCGTATTTGCGTGCTGTACTTTTCAATATGTAAGCAAAAAGGTATAAGCGTGTGTCAGTTCATGCATGCGTGTGCATGCTCGTGCATCTTATGAGTCCATGTGTCTACATGCACACACAGGCACGTCTGCTCGCCCCACCTTGGTCGGGGTCCAGGCCGAAGAAGGAGTTTTTGCGTCCAAAGCGGATGCTGAAGGCCCTGCCAGTCGCCGTGGTGGTCTTGGGGTAAGACACCTGCATCAGGTTGACGTGGCAGTTGGTGGGCACAAAGTCCATGCAGCCCAGTGGGTGAGGCCGCACACCCGCCTGCTTGAACGTGGGACATGCCTTGTTCCTCAGCTCCTGGGCAAACTGAAAACAGAAGAATGAAAATGGTACCTTCACCGCTATAACATAATGATGGTTCAATACTCACTGCTGATATGTGTGTGTTGTGTGTTTGAATGTGAGTGTGAGTGGGGTGTATTACCTTTCGATAGCTACTGAATTACTGAAGTGGGGGGGTTTGTGTGTGTGCATATGCTTGAGGAAGATTGGGAGAGAGTCTGAGTGTGCATTTACAAAACAGTTGAAGAAAGCGACAAGCAGTCGGTGTTTGTAGCTCTTCTTGCACTACATAAGGGGCTATGAGAGACAGAGGGATCCTGTAGTTCCTGTACCTGCTGGTAGCTGCTGATTCGTCGGCGGATGCTCTCCAGCTTGGTGTCACAGATGTTCCTAAACTCAAACTGAGGCATCGACACCACGCGGTCGCTCTGTGAGATCAGCTGGCTGCAGTTGCGCACAAAATGGCTGTCGTCACCAGCAAAGGCCTCCAGGATCTGACAGGTGAAAACTAATGTTTAAGTCACTTTGGATTCACGTCTTCAAGTTCAAGTTATTTGAAGTGATTTATGCAGGAATTGAACAGCATGTAACCTGGGAAGCATTCACTCCCATTGTTTTCTGTCATAAATGCTAATGTTAACGAGTCGTGGCTGTGGCTATGAATTGAAACCCATAGTACTAATGCTAGGAGAATACAACAACAATAGACATGCATTGTGGCCAACCTGCTCCAGCAGTAAACCACACACTGCTGCTAGCATGCTAATGCTAAGAGCAGTGTTAGCATGCTAATGCTAACAACAACAGACATGTACTGTACTTTGGCGGTGAGGCTGAAGCAGCCCTTGGGCTCCACCATCTTCTCCAGGACGTGGCTCTTGATGCCGGCCGTGCTGACGTACTCGTACACCACGCCATGCTCCAGGTGCACGTTGTCAACCATCATGCTCACCAGAGGCACAGAGTCATCAGACACGGACAGCCTGCTCAGGCTATAGTCTGGATGAGACACAAAATAGAGGACACTTGAGTACACACCTGTTGTTGGATAGATGGACAGAGACAAACCCACACATATGAACACACAAACACACAGTGAGGTAGTGCACACTACAGTACCTGTTCCATTCCTGGCATTCTCCTCCTCTGTATCAGAGCCGTTCTCTGCTGGGCAGGCCCTGAACGACCCCCTGTCCTCCTCAACATCCTCAAATGCCCGATACACCCACTGACACTTATAGGACACAGGGAGGGACACACTGGAGTCAAACATTGGTGTGTGTTTCTGTACATGCCATCATACAGTTTACATAAGTATTCACACCCGAGTCAATACTTTGTAGAAGCACATTTGGCGGCGAATACAGCTTTGAGTCGTCTTGGGTATGTCTGTATCAGCTTTGCACATCTAGATTTGGGGATTTTCTCCCATTCTTCCTTGCAGATTTTCTGAAGCTCTGTTAAGTTAGATGGGGAGTGGCAGTGAACAGCAATCTTCAAGTCTTTCCACGGATTTTCAATGGGATTCAAGTCTGGGCTTTGGCTGGGCCACTCAAGGACTTCCACATTCTTGTTCTGAAGCCATCCCAGCTTGCTTTGGCTGTATGCTTGGGGTCCTGTTGGAACGTAAATCTTCGCCCCCAGTCTAAGGTCGTTTGCACTCTGAAGCAGGTTCTTATCAAGGATTTGCCTGTATTTGGCTCCACTATTCATTGTTCTCTCTATCCTTACCAGTCTCCCAGTCCCTGCCGCTGAAAAGCATCCCCATAGCATGATGCTGCCACCACCATGCTTCACGGTAGGGATGGGGTTAGACTGGTGATGAGCTGGGCCTGGTTTTCTCCAGACATAGCGCTTTGCATTCAGGCCAAAGAGTTAACATTTTGTCTCATCAGACCACAGAATCTTTTGCTTATGCTCTCAGAATATTTCACTTGCATTTTTGCTAAATCCAGGCGTGCTGTCATGTACCTTTTTCTCTGGAGTGGCTTCAGTCTGGCCACTCTCCCATAAAGCCCAGATTGGTGAAGTGCTGTAGAGATTGATGTCCTTCTGAAAGGTTCTCCCATCTCAGCCAAGGAACGCTGTAGTTCTGTCAGAGTGGTCATAGGGTTCTTGGTCACCTCCCTGACCAAGGTACTTATTGCCCGGTTGCTCAGTTTGGTCGGACAGCCAGCTCTAGGCAGTGTCTGCGTAGTGCCATATTTTTTCAATTTCACAATGATGGAGACCACTGTGCTCTTGGAAACTTTTAACACTCTAGAAATTGTTTTATACTCTTCCCCAGATAGATGCCTCATCCCAATTCTACCTTGGAGCTCTACGGACAGTTCCTTGGACTTCATGGTATAGTTTCTGCTCTTACATGCACTATCAACTGTGGGACCTTATAAAGACAGGTGTGCTTCTTTCTAAATCATGTCCAAACAATTAAATTGGCCACAGGTGGACTCCAATAAAGTTGTCGTGACATCTCAAGGATGATCAAAGGAAATTGGATGCACCTGAGCTCAATTTGGAGTGTCATAGCAAAGGTGTGCGAATACTTATGTAAATTGGATCATTCTTATTTCATTTTCAATAAATGTGCTAAAATTTCAAAGAAATATATGTTTTCACTTTCCCATTATGGGGTATTGTGTGTAGATGGGTGAGAAAAAACAAATATTTAATCAATTTTGAATTCAGGCTGTAACAACAAAATGTGGAATAAGTCAAGGGGTATGAATACTTTCTGAAGGGAAAAAAGTATTTCATCCCCTGCTGATTTTGTACGTTTGCCCACTGACAAAGAAATGATCAGTCTATAATTTTAATGGTAGGTTTATTTGAACCGTGAGAGACAGAATAACAACAAAAAAATCCAGAAAAACGCATGTCAAAAATGTTATAAATTGATTTGCATTTTAATGAGGGAAATAAGTATTTGACCCCCTCTCAATCAGGAAGATTTCTGGCTCCCAGGTGTCTTTTATACAGGTAACGAGCTGAGATTAGGAGCACACTCTTAAAGGGAGTGCTCCTAATCTCAGTTTATTACCTGTATAAAATACACCTGTCCACAGAAGCAATCAATCAATCAGATTCCAAACTCTCCACCATGGCCAAGACCAAAGAGCTCTCCAAGGATGTCAGGGACAAGATTGTAGACCTACACAAGGCTGGAATGGGCTACAAGACCATCGCCAAGCAGCTTGGTGAGAAGGTGACAACAGTTGGTGCGATTATTCGCAAATGGAAGAAAAACAAAAGAACTGTCAATCTCTCTCGGCCTGGGGCTCCATGCAAGATCTCACCTCGTGGAGTTGCAATGATCATGAGAACGGTGAGGAATCAGCCCAGAACTACACGGGAGGATCTTGTCAATGATCTCAAGGCAGCTGGGACCATAGTCACCAAGAAAACAATTGGTAACAGACTACGCCGTGAAGGACTGAAATCCTGCAGCGCCCACAAGGTCCCCTGCTCAAGAAAGCACATATACATGCCCGTCTGAAGTTTGCCATTGAACATCTGAATGATTCAGAGGAGAACTGGGTGAAAGTGTTGTGGTCAGATGAGACCAAAATCGAGCTCTTTGGCATCAACTCAACTCGCCGTGTTTGGAGGAGGAGGAATGCTGCCTATGACCCCAAGAACACCAACCCCACCGTCAAACATGGAGGTGGAAACATTATGCTTTGGGGGTGTTTTTCTGCTAAGGGGACAGGACAACTTCACCGCATCAAAGGGACAATGGACGGGGCCATGTACCGTCAAATATTGGGTGAGAACCTCCTTCCCTATGCCAGGGCATTGAAAATGGGTCGTGAATGGGTATTCCAGCATGACAATGACCCAAAACACACGGCCAAGGCAACAAAGGAGTGGCTCAAGAAGAAGCACATTAAGGTCCTGGAGTGGCCTAGCCAGTCTCCAGACCTTAATCCCATAGAAAATCTGTGGAGGGAGCTGAAGGTTCGAGTTGCCAAACGTCAGCCTCGAAACCTTAATGACTTGGATAAGATCTGCAAAGAGGAGTGGGACAAAATCCCTCCTGAGATGTGTGCAAACCTGGTGGCCAACTACAAGAAATGTCTGACCTCTGTGATTGCCAACAAGGGTTTTGCCACCAAGTACTAAGTCATGTTTTGCAGAGGGGTCAAATACTTATTTCCCTCATTAAAATGCAAATCAATTTATAACATTTTTGACATGCGTTTTTCTGGATTTTTTTGTTGTTATTCTGTCTCTCACGGTTCAAATAAACCTACCATTAAAATTATAGACTGATCATTTCTTTGTCAGTGGGCAAACATACAAAATCAGCAGGGGATCAAATACTTTTCCCCCATACTGTATATGCATATTTTCTCATGGAACATGGCACTGGTACAGGAAACACACTGGCAATCAACCAGCTGTGTGAATGAACAAACAGAGACGTTAAGACATGGTCCAAACAGAGCAGCTCTGAGGAGACTTGACTGGGCAAGAGCTGAGGGGATTGGACAAGGAAATCCATGGTAAACATCAACAGAGCAGGGAATTGGACAGGAGGAGGGGAGTGAGAGTAAATATCAACACATCACCTAATAAAAAAGCACCACAGTACATCCTGCAGGGTCCCAAGCTGGATAAAGCCAAAATACAGAATTTGACACAGTAGGAAAATAAAAACAAGGGGGGAAAGGAGGTCTACTGGCAGTTCACTGTAAATGGTAGAATACTTAAATTGAGGATGAGGAAGAACCCTAGTTGTGACACAACAAATAAAAATACAACCTTGCATGTGACACTATAGAAGGGAACACACTAGTTTGATGGAAAAACATATTGACACTGGCAGAAAAGTAGCAATGCCTCTTTTTAATGCCACATTAGGCTATGTCAGTCTTCTCCAATCCAATCCTGACACTTAGACACTTGATTCAACTCATCATCAAGCCTTTGATAAGTGGAATCAGGTGTGCTAGTGCCAGTGGTGTAAAGTACTTAAGTAAAAATACTTTAAAAAGTTCCAATTAAGTATTTTTTTAGGATATCTGAACTTTAATATTTATATTTTTGACAACTTTTACTTTTACTTCACTACATTCCTTAAGAAAATATTGTACTTTTTACTCCATACATTTTCCTTGACACCCAAAAGTACTCATTACATTTTGAATGCTTAGCAGGACAGGAAAATAGTCCAATTCACGCACTTATCAACCGAACATCCCTGGTCATCCCTACTGCCTCTGATCTGGCGGACTCACTAAACACACATGCTTTGTTTGTAAATTATGTCTGAATGTTGAAGTGTGCCCCTGGCTTTCCGTCAATTTATAAAACAAGAAAATGGTGCCATCTGGTTTGCTTAATATAAGGAATTTGAAATGATTTATACTTTTACTTTTACTTTTGATACTTAAGTATATTTTTGTAATTACATTTACTTTTGATACTTAGGATTTTTTATGAATTTATTTGCAAATTATGGTGGAAAATAAGTATTTGGTCAATAACAAAAGTTTCTCAATACTTTGTTATATACCCTTTGTTGGCAATGACACAGGTCAAACGTTTTCTTTAAGTCTTCACAAGGTTTTCACACACTATTTTGGCCCATTCCTCCATGCAGATCTCCTCTAGAGCAGTGATGTTTTGGGGCTGTCGCTGGGCAACACGGACTTTCAACTCCCTCAAAGATTTTCTATGGGGTTGAGATCTGGAGACTGGCTAGGCCACTCCAGGACCTTGAAATGCTTCTTACGAAGCCACTCCTTCGTTGCCCGGGCAGTGTGTTTGGGATCATTGTCATGCTGAAAGAACCAGCCACGTTTCATCTTCAATGCCCTTGCTGATGGAAGGAGGTTTTCACTCAAAATCTCACGATACATGGCCCCATTCATTCTTTCCTTTACACGGATCAGTCGTCCTGGTCCCTTTGCAGAAAAACAGCCCCAAAGCATGATGTTTCCACCCCCATGCTTCACAGTAGGTATGGTGTTCTTTGGATGCAACTCAGCATTCTTTGTCCTCCAAACACGACGAGTTGAGTTTTTACCAAAAAGTTATATTTTGGTTTCATCTGACCATATGACATTCTCCCAATCCTCTTCTGGATCATCCAAATGCACTCTAGCAAACTTCAGACGGGCCTGGACATGTACTGGCTTAAGCAGGGGGACACATCTGGAACTGCAGGATTTGAGTCCCTGGCGGCGTAGTGTGTTACTGATGGTAGGCTTTGTTACTTTGGTCCCAGCTCTATGCAGGTCATTCACTAGGTCCCCCTGTGTGGTTCTGGGATTTTTGCTCACCGTTCTTGTGATAATTTTGACCCCACGGGGTGAGATCTTGCATGGAGCCCCAGATCGAGGGAGATTATCAGTGGACTTGTATGTCTTCCATTTCCTAATAATTGCTCCCACAGTTGATTTCTTCAAACCAAGCTGCTCACCTATTGCAGATTCAGTCTTCCCAGCCTGGTGCAGGTCTACAATTTTGTTTCTGGTGTCCTTTGACAGCTCTTTGGTCTTGGCCATAGTGGAGTTTGGAGTGTGACTGTTTGAGGTTGTGGACAGGTGTCTTTTATACTGATAACAAGTTCAAACAGGTGCTATTAATACAGGTAACGAGTGGAGGACAGAGGAGCCTCTTAAAGAAGAAGTTACAGGTCTGTGAGAGCCAGAAATCTTGCTTGTTTGTAGGTGACCAAATACTTATTTTCCACCATAATTTGCAAATAAATTCATTAAAAATCCTACAGTGTGATTTTCTGGATTTTTTTTTCTTAATTTGTCTGTAATAGTTGACGTGTACCTATGATGAAAATTACAGGTCTCTCTCATCTTTTTAAGTGGGAGAACCTGCACAATTGGTGGCTGACTAAATACTTTTTTCCCCCACTGTAAGTATATTTTAAACCAAATACTTTTAGACTTTTACTCAAGTAGAATTTTACTGATTGACTTTTACTTGAGTCATTTTCTATTAAGGTAGCTTTACTTTTACTCAAGTATGACAGTTGGGTACTTTTTCCACTTAGGTAAAAACAAAACAATTTGCACACCTTTGGGTCCCCAGGACCAGGATTGGGAAAGATTGGGCCATGCCATTGTGGTTGAATCTCACCATCTCCGAACATGTATGTTTCCCTAACATTACGCATACAGTATTAAACCAATGGAAGTGCCAGGATGGTGCAGACTGTCTCTCACCATGTCGGGGTGTTCCTGCTGGTCGTGGTGGGAGGTGGTGAAGTGCTCCAGGACCTCCTGGTAGTCGCTGAGGTTCATGCTGTTGCCGTTCACCTTCAGGATACACTGACCTGGCTGGAGGCCCGCTGCCGCCGCCTCTGACCCTGAAATCACAAGGGGTCACACAAGGGTCAGAGATCACATTTAGATATGCCTCAGGGTTGTCATTGTAACCGCAATGATGTCATACTGTACTTGCAGAGTTTTTTATTCACCCCCCCCCCCAAAGAAATTGTTATAATATACTGTAAGTATTTTTTTTATCTAGTCCTTCATGTAAATATGTATTTTATTCAACGTAACCTTTATTCAATTAGGACATCCCATTGAAAATATGAATCTGTTCATTAGAGAAGACCTATCCAAGGCCATCATCCTCAAATAAATAGATATGCACACATGAAGACATACATGGGTATAATAATTTGGTCTTCAAATAACTCCTGGTAACACTTTAGCTGTGCACTAAATTAAGAACAGATCTTCCTGTCCCATTTTAAAATACCAGGCCTAGCATCACTTTCCATGTCATCCACCTCACACAAAGCACGCAATGCCATAACTTCAGTTTAGCAGCAACCCCCTCCCAGCCGTCAAGCAGGGCCCTGATTTAGGAGAAGAGAGAGTGCCTGGAGAGTCTGACATCATTCAGAGACAACTCATATGGGCCGGTAGGAACCCCACATTCCGCAGCCTGTGCGTGTGTGTTTGTGTGCATTTGTGCGTCGGAGAGAGTGAAGCCAGGTCACAGTGTGTGTGAGCTCCCTCAGACATAATAAAAAAGAGGCGACTCTCCGGGTCATGACTCCTTCTCCATGGATGCTACAGAAAGGAGTCGGCCATTTTCTCCTACCTCCTCTTCCAGCTGTTTTACACATTTGGACCAATCCCTCGCTCACAACTCAACAGTGGTAAATCTTCTTCTTTCGCTTCTTCTTTTTATATGATATAAACATCTGCCTAGCAGGCAGCGTACCGGGGGAATGTGGCCCAGGTGGTTTTATTAACAAAGACAAGTTAAGTTCTGTGTGTGTAGTGGGAGCACCGTCTTTTAGGATTTAAACTTTGAACACTAGTGGACATGTGGTCCTAAAAAGCAGAGCCTCAGTAAAAGGGAACTGAAGCTGACAGGTGCATGGCTGGCAGGTAACTTTAGAGAGCGCCAATCAAAGCGGTTGTTACTCACCTTTCCTTACTGCATGCACATGAGGTGGGGCGGAGCCACAGAGTTTGAAGGACAGGGCATCTGGAGTGTCTGGAATCTTCACAATCCTAAATCAACAAGAGAGTGAATCAGACTGGCCAAACCCTGAGCCTGTGTGTCTAGTTAAGCGCACGTGTGTGTGAAATTAAATAGTGTGTGTGCATCTGTATACGCGTGAGTTCATGTGTGCATGCTTGTCCTACTATACTGTAACTCACTCCTTGGCCTTGGTGTTGACCAGCAAGCGTAGGGAGCGGCGGATGCAGAAGGCCTGATTGATCATGGTCTCCACCTCCTGGAAGGGCCTGAGGAACACCAGGTCCTCGTTGATGGTGAAAATCTTCCTGCCTGCCTGCAGCCCCGCCATCTGGAGGGGAGGACGGAGAGGAAACAACACCGGTGGAGCGTCATAGGTTGTCTCATCATTTCATGCTACATCAGTGGCTATTTTGTTTTCAGATGTAAAATTGTTTGTGAACAATTTGACCAGACTTCACTTATAAAACCTGGTTAAATAATGGGAAAAGCATTAAAATAAAATCTGAATTATTTAAAAAACGCTAATGAAGAAGGGAAGATCTGACCGCCATTTGCGGGGCATTAATGCATATTGAACTGTGATGGGTTGCTTGCATGTTTCTGATCATGTCAGAAGAGTAATGCAGCCTCTATATCCTCTCTGGCTAGCCCAGGACCCAGGGACCAGATCCGCTTGGCTTTGGTTGCCTGGGGTGTTGGCTTTGGAGGACAGACCAGATTAGGGACAGACAAGCATAGTGGCCCTCTGAGTATATGTGTGTGTGTCCATGTTTGGTATTCTCCCCCTGACCCTCCTGGAGTCCCTGGCTCTCCCAGGGTTTTTCACTGGGCCCTGTGAATCAGCTGAGCCTCATTCACAATGCTGGCACACACAACACACACACACAGGTTCTGTGTCAGCCAGGACCTAACTAAACTGCCACTGTCTGGAGCGGAGAAGGCGAGGCGATAGAGGGGGATGAGGAGTGAGATGGAGGGGACAGGGAACAAGGGAGGGGAGAAAGAGAGTAGGGGACACAGAGGAAGTGTGAGAGGTAGGGTTTAGGGTACAACTGTAGGACATAAGGCGGGAGGAGTGAGATAGAGTGGGCAGGGAACGAGGGAGGGGAGTGAGACCGTAAGGGACACTGAGGGACAGTTAGGGAAGGAGTGCAGTAAGGCTGTGTTACTCAATCCCTTCCCTCAGGAATCCCCAGTCGTTGTTCCATCCCAACACTAGTTCCTCTGATTCAACCAATCAACAATATACCAAGACCCTGATTAGTTGAGTCAGAAGAGAGGAGAGAAAGAGAGTTGAGATAGAAGGCTGTCCTCCCATGAGGCTGCAGACAGAAAGACAGATAGAAACGTGTGCAGGCGCGTACATACACACACGTAAGCACACATGCACACAGAGCTGGGATGTCGTGTTGTGGCGTGTGGTGTCATTGAGGAGAATGTGAGAAGGCATGTCTAATCTAATACGGCTGATCTGATCCCCACACTGAGAATAGAGCCCCTGAGGAGAGGGACAGGCAGAGTGACACCACCACCACTGCCTGAATCACTGGGACTAATGGGCTCTGTCAGTGAGTAGGAATAAGCACAAGAAGTGTGTGTGTGTTGTCTATGTGTGTGTGTGTGTGTGTGTGTGTGTGTGTGTGTGTGTGTGTGTGTGTGTAGACTCCTCACCTCGGCGTGAGAGCCCCTGGTGACAGACTTCACCACGATGGCCTTGTTCTTCTCCTCGATCTCAAAGCCATAGTCTTCTTCCTCAGGGTGGATCTATGGGGAGAAAAACAAACAATACAACCAAGGAGCTTAGAAGGCATTGATTGACATTGATTAATTCATTAATCCACTGCATAAGATGAAGGAACCAACAAAATCCAGATATTTTCTCAGGCAATCACCGCGCGGTCAATGACAAACGAATGACACAATGGCAATGATAGACTTGGGTCAAATGCGTACGTCAAATGTGGATTTATTTGGGACTATTCCATTACCGGGCACTAACGCGAGCATCGCCAATCGCACGGTGGGGGTTATCTTCCTGCTGCAGAGTTGTGATAAGATGGCTATCGCTAACGCCCGTCTGAGGAGACTGCTAAAAGGAGAAAGGCTAAACAATGGGCTCTGCAGCGTCAAGGAGCTGTGTGTGTGTGTGTGTGTGCGTGCGTCGGTCTATCACTGCAGTCATGGCTGTAGGGACTGGGAAGGATTAGCATTTGAGCTAATCATCAGGGATGGGGCGTCTCCGAGCAAAATAAAAATGTCTACTTCCTTGTTCGTTCTCCTAAAGAAACGCTAGAGAAAGCTAATGCTCTTATGTTAGCTGGACACAATGTAGCTCGATGTAGCTCCCAGTTTCCCGCCCTTTTCTGAGGGGGGTTCGACCTTTACTCTCATTCTTCTAGCACCTGTTGGTGAATGTCACGGCGGAGAGTCGCGCAGTGTTGATGCATCGATCAAGAGAGAGAGAGAGAGAGACAGAGTGCGCGAGAGGAAGGGATCGAGAGAGAGAAAGAGTGTGAGAGAGACAGAAAGTTAGATGAAGAGATAGAGAAAGAAATATAGAAAAAGAAAGAGAGAGAGGGAGAGAGAGAAAGTGAGAAGGAGAGAGCGTGAGAGGGAGGGAGGGAGGGAGGGAGAGAGTGGAGAGGGAGAGAGAGAATATGAGGAGAGACACCGCAGAGACACCGCCATGTTGCTTTCCGCCGTGGACCCTACTTTTCAAGTAATGAGACAGCTTTTCTTCAGAGTGCTTGGGGGGTCACTTTATGGCAACAAACATGTCCAATCAAGGGTGAGATGGTTAAAGGTCAGAGAGACATTTCTGGCAGGCCTTTGGAGAGCTTCATAATTAGCCTCTTCACACATGGTAGGGGGGTAAATCAAGTCTAACTGCAGCTCACGCATGGAAGCATGTACGTGATGGTTCCTCTCAAGGAACATATTTTTCAAATTACCCCAGAGGAGAAAAAAAAGTATCCACAATGTCCTCCTATGCATTTCAACCGAACTCATGACCATTTGTGGGTGTCGATACGTGATATTCCTTACATATTGTAGATTATATTTATATTTTAGCCTTTCAGCGTTTTAATGGAATAAATGTTAGTGATTGTTCAGTTTGACTATGAGCAAACCATCTGATGAGCCATCAAAGCAACTGATCTCATCAGTTTAAAATTGTTCTTCCTGATGCTCGCCTCTTATGAGACCTCCACACACACACACACACACACACACACACACACACACACACACACACACACACACACACACACACACACACACACACACACACACACACACACACACACACACACACACACACACACACGATTTCTAAAAGACAACGACCATTAATATGCTGTTGGATCAGAAGGACTTCAAAGCCCTGTCTCGTCTTCAAAGGCGTAAGGAGGAGATGTTTTGAGCTGCAACAGACACAGGGGATGAGACGTCTTCAAATGCTCTCTGGTACCCACATCCAGATGTGGTTCACGTCATCACACGTACGCACAGGCCTTGCGGAGTGGAGGACAGGACATGGCTGTTTCCAATCATGCCCAGACCTCTGGGTAAGTAAAAAACCTATTCCTCTAAATAACACTGCGTGGTAGCTTATTGGTACAGCAGCGGACAAACCATGCAATGAATTACTGACAAATAACTATGTCTAGTGCTGTCATGATCATACACAGGTGCATGTGTTCATTTATGTGTGAGTGTGTGTTCATGCCTGTGTTTACTTACGTTCATGCGTGTGTGTGTCCTGTAAATGTTCATGCATGTAAGTGGGTGTGTGTGTTCGTGTGTGTGTGTGTTTGTGTGTGTACATGCGTGTATGTGTGTGTATACGTTCATGTGTGTGTGTAATCACGCTCACCACCAGGGACTTGGCCAGGATGTTCTCAATGAGCTTGAAGTCGTTGCGCAGCAGCTGCTTGCTCTTGGAGCTCGTGCCTTCCATCTCCTCGTCGGCGTAGAAACGGAAGAACTGCGACTCGTCTTTGAACTCGCTCTTCTCCAGGACTGTGAGAAAGAAAGGAAAAGGAGAAGAGATAAGTGGTGAGCTGAAGAGAAATGTGGGTCACTGCAGCTTTAAGCAAAGTCTGCGTCTGAAAAGGAATGGCATCCTATTCCCTATGTAGTGCATTACCACTGGTCAAAAGTAGGGCAATATATGATACACCCTTAGTCACCCACTTGGACATTCATTCACTGTCAAATGACCAGCTGCTAATTCAAAACAGGTTGGGGTGAAAGACTTGCTTTAAAGTTGCAGTGTGTGTGTCATATAATTTCCTAGGCTATACCAAGGAAATGCCAGTGGAAACAGTACCGTCAATTAGTGAAAAATTGCTTCCCCAATCGGCTCTGTTGTTCCCTTCACTCAGGTAACATGTCTGTGTGCCTGTGCGTGTCTGTATCGAGCCAGCAGCGGCCGATGGTGGCTGTGACAGGTGTCAGTCTGTCTACCTGTCTGTCTGCCTGTCTCTCTGTCAGAGTGAAGGGTTGTAAAGAACAGTGGTATCTGGGGTAAAGGTACCCAGCTGTATGGGAGACCATCTGGTCGGCCAAGTGGAACAAAATCAGTCAAATGGATCTGTGCTACACACACACACACAATCTGGCACTATGCCAAAACAATTAAGCATAGGGGGCATTTCCTATCGGTCAGACTGTGAATCCTTTGAATACCTTTAATACCAGCTATTCAAGTTGTCAAGAAACTCCCAACACACACATTCCCAATCCACAGTGAGAGACGCACATACACTTACACTGACGCTAAACTGGTGTGCCATTGAAATTGGCGACTGCTGTTATGAGTGTGAGTGTGCAGTAAATTGGGGAACTGAATACCCCAGGAAAGCTCTGAACCCTTGCATAGCATCTGTTACTTACTGCAGTGTTCCCCTGCTATTACATAAAGTAGACAATGTTGAATGTTGTATGAAGCTTTGCAGGGCACTTGCGACCCGCCTAAGATTAAATATCTAGGAGAAACACTGTGTTGCTTGTTGTACAGTGCTGCGAGGGGGAGAGCGAGAGAGAGAGAGAGCGAGAGATAGGAGAGAAAGGAGAAAGATACAGGGACTGAGAGCATGTATACGAGAGAAATATAGAGGGAGATAGAAAGAATACAGACATACTGACTAAAGCTGGAGTGTGTGAAGGGATAGCTGAGGTCAGGTGAGAAGAGACATGCTATGCACTCAGCAGGCAGAGAAGAGACGTGTGAACTTGAAAAGGAGAACTAGCCAGCAGATGGCATCCGGGGGTGTGTGTGTGTGTCAATACTGTATTAGTGTGAGTGTGTGTGTGTGAGATTGTGTGTGTGTGTGTATATGTGTCTACTATAAGTGTTTGTGTATATGTGTAGGACGTGTAGTAGATTGGGCTGGTTTGAGGGCGTTCTAAGTTCACAAGGATATAGCTAGCAAGCTAGGGAAAGTCTAGCCTAGTTAAATCAGAATGAGCCCTGCACTCACTATTGTTTCACTGGTGAGCAGAATATTCAGTCTGGTTTAACCAGGTTAAGGAAGACCTTTAAGAGTGTTCCATTGTTCAATGCTGCCACGCAGACTGTGAATGTGGAAATGCCAAGGGTTCAGGGAACACTGCAAATACTGTTGATGTTGACAACAGAGTGTGGTCTGATTGTGGTATATGGTCATCTGACTTGAGTCCATTGTACGGATGTGGGAAAATCTTCTACGTGTACTGACTGACTGGCATAAATTTGGCAAGTCCTAACTTCCACTTTGGTTGAATTTTCACTTCATCAATGCATGATTAAGTGAGAATTTGACATAAGTTGAAGTTAGGGTTCGTCCCAATGTGAATAGGAACACCTTTCAAGTGGCAGTTACAGTATGACACAGTTAAGAAAACATAATGCATTACCAGGTGTTAATGGTTTATAAGAAAACAACTGTACAGGAATGACAACTGCCTTCTACTGTATGAGGAATTAAATGGTAAATGTTGAATGTTATGTTTTGATTATAAGATAATTGATAACCGAATCTAATAACAAGAAGTATTATTATGTACTCTGGTCAGAGAAACACTTGAACCCAAGCAGCAGAAACTTCATGCAAAAGTGGTAAAATAAGGACCTTGCCCTAGTTTTGCAGACCCACATTTCCCTCATTATGGTTGTAAATGCATTGTGGCATGGTGTTTGTGTGTGTGTGTGTGTGTGTGTGTGTACAGTATATCACTCAATGATGTGTAACACGTGTTGTCATAAATGAATTCTATGAAATGATGTTACGGTCCCCGACCATCGGCTCAGGGGAATATAAGCCTGATGAAAAAAGTAACGCAATATCCCTGATGTACTGTATGTCATTCAGTCAAGTAACACGTGACGCATGTGTGCTGTACTGACCATGGTGCATGAAGCCATTGTTGCACAGTCCGACCCCCAACGTCACCGCATCCTCACGCGTGGAACAGTCACCCTGGGAAACAGAATGAGGCACAATCAAGCATGTCACCTGCTTAGACTTGTTGTTTTCACCTCTTAGACACAGTGGGGAGCGCTGATGGGCAGCCACTCCAGTGTGTGTGTGTGTGTGTGTGTGTGTGTGTGTGTTCCTGTTTGTGTACACTGTACCTGTGACAGAAGCCAGTCGACCAGTTTGCTGGCAGGCACCACAGACTTGAAGGTTTTTAAATGGTGGTCTCTGTCCCTGCAAGGGAGAAGGAGACAGTGGAATAAGGATATGGTTTCAAAGCAAAACACATTCAAGCAAGCAGGTGCACACAAGCACATTTCCCAGAACCTTAAAGATGTTATCAATCACATGAACAAAATTACATTATGCCTTACAGCAACTGTTTTGTTGTTGTTTTTTCATCTATAAAATAATTGTATTGAAAATATTTCCTTCATTGTCCCTAAAAGGGAATAACTTACACCACCACCATTTTCTATTCAGAGACATCAAATAATACATAATATAATACAGTTATGATTTTCACATCAAAGCATATACCATTTTAGGTTTGGAAAGTTCACCCTGAGACGGTGGTGGGTTTTTAAGTCCCTAAGAAAACTGACTTCATGTAACAGCACATTGTCTTTACTCATTTTCCTCACATTTTAATGTTGTGAGCCATATGTATACCTACATAATCGAATATACACAAGTCAAGATATCCAGACAGAGCAATTCAAACTATTTACAACATGTAGAAAGGGATCTGAGCGATCATGGAGTACAGGCCTACATAGGCTATTGCAAAAAATAAACAAGAAGCATCTTTAAAAATACATTTGCTTTGTTTTCTGTTTTACTTCGACAAGCAATTAAATAAGGCATATTATGTATTATTCGTATGTTAACAATATTATGGCAATGATAATAATAAATAAAAAGTCACATTAAAACCAAAATACCCTTTAAAACGACAGCTTAAGATAGGTGCAGTAGCTTTAAAAACGTTCAAGAAATTGTACATTTCCTAGAGTTAGAATCTTGAAAGTCAGCTCGACATGTCAGATTGCATGCCACCAGCTATCATCATTCGTGCTTTCTAAGCCTTTCATATGTTGTCATTAATTTCTCTCATTTGGTCCTTTCTTTCCCCATTAGGATAGTACACTGAGTGTACAAAACATTAGGAACACCTGCTCTTTCCATGACAGACTGACCAGGTGAATCCAGGTGAAAGCTATGATCCCTTATTGATGTCACTTGTTAAATCCACTTCAATCAGGGTAGATGAAGGGGAGGAGACAGGTTAAAGAAGTATTTTTAAGCCTTGCGACAATTGAGACATAGGACTGTGTATGTGTGCCATTTAGAGGGTGAATGCTATTAGGCCACACTGTGGCCATGGTTACAGACACCTGCGTGTGTCCTTTGAAACGATATAAACTAGTGACCCACAGTGTTTGTCATTATACCCTGATGAAGACAGCTTGTCTGTCGAAACGTTGGTTATGAGGTTATTAAATTATTGCATCTGAGCTACTAGAGTGGGCGGCTTTCCTTGCCTACAATAATAACAATTATATATAATAATAATAATAAAATAAATGATTATAAATACGAAAAAATAAATACAATTCCAAAATTGCATCTTACCTGAATAGTGAGATGCACAGTAGCCTGAATGCACAGTGGCCTGAATTTGGCCATTTGTATGGTCAAAAAAAGATATTCTGCAAATGTATATCATGTAAATGACATAGAATTGCATGAAATGCGTTTATAAAAAGGCAAACTAAATCCAGATCCTGCTAAAACAAAATCCCGATATGTGGAAATCCTAAAAATATGTCTGCTCAACTGAATGCCATGATGCAAATGTGATTATAGATGCATGCAATGCTTTATTATGAAGGGGATTCCAGCACCCCCAACTCAAAACATCTTCCCACAGCTATGAAGACAATTGCTTAACTCTGCAAAATTGCCCAACCTCAGCTCTTTCTACGGTCTCTGATCTCCCAATGCTGAGCCTTTCAACTGCTCAACTACTGTTAAGGCTTGAGTGACTGACTGTCTGATTGACTACTGTATTGCACACACACAGCTTTTGTTTTCACAAGCAATTGGCAAGATTGGGCACTTGTCTGCACAGAGACCATTCAGCAGAGATGGCGCCGGAGAAGATGGCTGCCGTTTTACAGCCCTCTAACCAATTGTACTATTATGTGTGTTTTTTTGCGTTATTTGTAATTTATTCTGTACATAATGTTTCTGCCATCGTCTCTTATAACCAAAAATAGCTTCTGGATATCAGGACAGCGATTATTCACCTCGTATTGGACTAAGATTTTTTCTTCAACGAGTCGGACGCGAAGGATATCCTACAGACACCCGACAAGGCCCAAATCCCCGTCATTCACAGGAGAAAGAGACAGAGATATCGTGGACGTAGGTCGGGGTGCCTTGTAAGGATCCGACGGCGAACGAGTAAACTGCCTCTTCCATCAATCCTATTAGCCAATGTTCAATCATTTGAAAATAAATTAGATGACCTACGATTATGGTTATCCTACCAACGGGACATAAAAAACTGTAATATCTTATGTTTCACCGAGTCGTAGCTGAACGACGACATGGACAACATACAGCTGACGGGATATACGCTACATCGGCAGGATAGAACGGCTGACTCCGGTAAGACAAGGGGTGGCGGTCTGTGTATATTTGTAAACAACAGCTGGTGCACAAAATCAAATACTAAGGAAGTCTCGAGGTTTTGCTCGCCTGAGGTAGAGTATCTTATGATAAGCTGTAGACCACACTATTTACTATATTTTTCATAGCTGTCTATATACCACCACAAACCAATGCTGGCATTAAGATTGCACTCAATTAGCTGTATAAGGCTATAAGTAAATAGGAAAACGCTCATCCAGAGGCAGCGCTCCTAGTGGCTGGGGACTTTAATGCAGGGAAACTTAAATCCGTTCTACCTAATTTCTACCAGCATGTTAAATGTGCAACCAGAGGAAAAAAAAACTCTAGACCACCTTTACTCCACACACAGAGACGCATACAAAGCTCTCCCTCGCCCTCCATTTGGCAAATCTGACCATAACTCTATCCTCCTGATTCCTGCTTACAAGCAAAAACTAAAGCAGGAAGCACCAGTGACTCGGTTAATAAAAAAGTGGTCCGATGACGCAGATGCTAAGCTACAGGACTGTTTTGCTAGCACAGACTGGAACATGTTCCGGGATTCTTCAGATAGCATTGACGAGTACACCACATCAGTCACTGGCTTCATCAATAAGTGCATCGATGACGTCGTCCCCACAGTGACAGTACGTACATACCCCAACCAGAAGCCATGGATTACAGGCAACATCCGCACTGAGCCAAAGGGTAGAGCTGCCGCTTTCAAGGAGCGGGACTCTAACCCGGACGCTTATAAGAAATCCCGCTATGCCCTTCGACGAACCATCAAACAGGCAAAGAGTCAATACAGGACTAAGATTGAATCGTACTACACCGGCTCTGACGCTCGTCGGATGTGGCAGGGCTTGAAAACTATTACAGACTACAAAGGGAAGCACAGCATCGAGCTGCCCAGTGACACGAGCCTACCAGACGAGCTAAAACACTTCTATGCTCGCTTCGAGGCAAGCAACACTGAAGCATGCATGAGAGCACCAGCCGTTCCGGATGACTATGTGATCACGCTCTCCGTAGCCGATGTGAGTAAGACTTTTAAGCAGGTCAACATTCACAAGGCCGCAGGGCCAGACGGATTACCAGGACGTGTACTCCGAGCATGTGCTGACCAACTGGCAAGTGTCTTCACTGACATTTTCAACATGTCCCTGACTGAGTCTGTAATACCAACATGTTTCAAGCAGACCACCATAGTCCCTGTGCCCAACGACATTAAGATAACCTGCCTAAATGACTACCGACACTTAGCACTGACGTCTGTAGCCATGAAGTGCTTTGAAAGGCTGGTCAAGGCTCACATCAACACCATTATCCCAGAAACCCTAGACACACTCCAATTTGCATACCGCCCCAACAGATCCACAGATGATGCAATCTCTATTACACTCCACACTGCCCTTTCCCACCTGGACAAGAGAAACACCTACGTGAGAATGCTATTCATTGACTACAGCTCAGCGTTCAACACCATAGTGCCCTCAAAGCTCATCACTAAGATAAGGATCCTGGGACTAAACACCTCCCCTGTAACTGGATCCTGGACTTCCTGACGGGCCACCCCCAGGTGGTAAGGGTAGGTAACAACACATCTGCCACGCTTATCCTCAACACGGGGGCCCCTCAGGGGTGCGTGCTCAGTCCCCTCCTGTACTCCCTGTTCACCCATGACTGCAAGGCCAGGCACGACTCCAACACCATCATTAAGTTTGCCGATGACAACAGTGGTAGGCCTAATCACAGACAACGATGAGACAGCCTATAGGGAGGAGGTCAGAGACCTGGCCGTGTGGTGCCAGGATAACAACCTCTCCCTCAACGTGACCAAGACAAAGGAGATGATTGTGGACTACAGGAAAAAAAAGAGGACTGAGCACGCCCCCATTCTCATCGACGGGGCTGTAGTGGAACAGGTTGAGAGCTTCAAGTTCCTTGGTGTCCACATCACCAACAAACTATCATGGTCCAAACACACCAAGACAGTCGTGAAGAGGGCACGACAAAGCCTATTCCCCCTCAGGAGACTGAAAAGATTTGGCATGGGTCCTCAAATCCTCAAAGAGTTCTACAGCTGCACCATCGAGAGCATCCTGACTGGTTGCATCACCGCCTGGTATGGCAACTGCTCGGCCTCCGACCGCAAGGCACTACAGAGGGTAGTGCGTATGGCCCAGTACATCACTGGGGCCAAGCTTCCTGCCATCCAGGACCTCTATACCAGGCGGTGTCAGAGGAAGGCCCTCAAAATTGTCAAAGACTCCAGCCACCCTAGTCATAGACTGTTCTCTCTGCTACCGCACGGCAAGCGGTACTGGAGCGCCAAGTCTAGGTCCAAAAGGCTTCTCAACAGCTTCTACCCCCAAGCCATAAGCTAATCATGGCTACCCGGACTATTTACACTGCCCGCCCACCCCCACCCCATCTTTTTACGCTGCTGCTACTCTGTTAATTATTTATGCATAGTCACTTTAACTCTACCCACATGTACATATTACCTCAACTACCTCAACTCGCCGGTGCCCCCGCACATTGACTCTGC